TTTCTTTTAGTATGGTGTGTGCATGTAAATGAATAAAAATAAATGAAGAAATTTATGTAAATCTACCCAAAAATACAGTTGAAAAACTGTACATTATTAAAATGTACTACAATTTTAATCTCTTGTGCAAAATAAATGACATTTATATTCAAATTATTCACTGTCTTGCAAGGATTCCAGCAATGCAAATTATATTCTCCTAACTTTAGTCTGTGATATTATATAAGATAAAAACTTAAAGCCTACTGTGTAACCACCCAACCCTTGCTGAGAGGAGAGGGGGGGGGGGAGGGAGGAAGGAAGGGGAGGTGACAGTGACATGTTTGACAGTTGGCGCTGAATGTCTAGTGAAGTATTTATTTGTTAATTTATGTCCTTTAGATTGAGTTTTTGTTTTTTGCTTATAAAATGTCATAGAAGTGACCGAGGAGAATATAATTTACATTGCTGAAATTCTTATAAGATAGTGATTAATTTGAATGTAAGCATGCTATAGTTTGCACTAGACAAAAATCTTAGTAATCATTTTGTACATTATTTTGATTACATGTACAGTACAGCTGTGATTACATGTACAGTACAGCTGTGCCCTTAGGAAACTGTGTGCATGTAGTGTAAATGAGTTTCAACAAATGAATAAAGTTACATATATCGAGCCAAAAATAATAGTTGAAAAACTTTATGGAGACAGAGCTTGGATGGCTAAATTTTAGAATGACCAATAATTTTAATATAAAAAATGCAAAAATATTCAAGAACACAAACTTCTTGATATTTACACCACTGGAAACGAATGTAAACATAGAACAGATTACACTACTGTATTGGCGGATTAGCCGATTAGCTGAAGCTCACAACAAAATGTGCTTGTCGTAAGGATTTCATTAATCGAAGTTTTGTTTGTTAACCAAATTGAAGATCCTTATGGGAGCTAAATCATTAACTGAAATTTTGTTAATCGAACCGTTCATTAACCTAGGGACCACTGTACCCCCAAAATTTCTATAGTGACAGACAAGTGGCGACTGGGATGGGCAGAGGTGACTGCAGAGAATCTCTATTCACAACTCTGCACATGGGTGGCATAGAAAAGATGGCAGTAGTGCAAATTGGTCCTGTCTGTGCAACTGAGCAGCCCTTTCCAGGAGCCACTCTGCTCACCCCACATGGGGAGGGGGCTAGAAAAGGTGCCCAAGCGGAGGAGAGAAAAAAAAAAAAACACCTGACTGGGCAACCACACCTAGTAAGGTGATGACCTTACATAATCATAATCACAGATCAAAGCTAAAACAAACTATACAAATTATTATGGTAGTTGCTTGGAATGTCGGGACCCTTCTGAATACTGGCACAAATAAGCATCCTGAAAGAAGAACAGCCCTTGTCGCAGCCATTAGTGAGTCCCAGCTCCCAGGCAAGGGTGTCTGGCTATACCTTCTTCTGGAAGAGTATGCCTGTAATCTAAAGAATAAATGGTTGAAAAATGAGGTGTGAAATGTAAAAAACTTGCAGCCCAACACAACATGTGCGAATTTTTCAATTCCACTAAAACATTTTATGAACCAATCACTCATGGTAATGCCCCCCTCCTCTCTTCCGAAGGTAACTCTCTAAGTAAAGATGAAGAAGGCATCCTTCAGCATTGGAGAGAGCACTAACATTCACTGCTCAACTGAAACACCGATGTGGATGTCCTGACTGCCCAGCAGGTCCCCCAGCACCCAGAGCTGACCTATCTCAGCTATCCTCCATCCCTGGATGAGGTAGCTACTGCCATCAAACTGATGAAAAATAACAAAGACACATCGCCTGATGGGATCCCAGCCGAGGTGTATAAAGCAGGAGGACCTCTGCTTACCACGGGAACTTGCTGCTGTCCATGGCTGGCAAGATTATCACCCGAGTCCTCCTAAACAAAATTCTTCCTGACACGGAAAACTTTTTCCCAGAATCTCAATGTGGCTTTAGACCATCACGTGGCACCACCGACATGATCTTTGCTGTCCGACAAACACAGGAAAAGTGCAGAGAACAGCATCGTGTACATGGCCTTCATCATCCTAACCAAGACCTTTGACTCGGTCAACAGGTAAACCCTCTGGGAGACTGTCAGCTGTTTTGGCTGCCCACCAAAATTCATCGCCATTGTGGGGCAACTCCATGATGGCATGAACAGCAGTGTCCTGTACAATGGCACCCAGTCTGAGCTCTTTCCCATCCAAATGGGGGTAAAACAAGGATATGTACTGGCACCAACTCTCTTTTCCATTTTCTTGGCTGCCTTCCTTACTCAAGTCAGTGCCAATTTAGCTGGCGGGGTGGACATCCAGTACCAGATGAAGGGTCTTTTCAACATAAGAGGACTCCAGGCAGGAACAAAGGTGTCAGCTACTTCCATTACTAAACTTCAGTATGCAGATGATCTCACCCTTGTCACTCACATTAAACACAGCTTACAGGAGATCTTGAACACCTACAGAGATGCATATACTTACACAATTTGGCCTTGAGGTGAATGTACTTAAGAATCAGATTCTCTTTCAGCGTGCCCCTGGTTCAACCACACCTCCACCATCCAACCAGCTTAATTGTACTACCCTCTCTAATGTTACCCACTTTCAGTATCTCGACTCCCACCTGTCCACCACCGCAGACATCGATAAAGAAATTCAAAATCCGATTAAATATGCATCTCAAGCCATTGGCAGTCTCCGTAACCGTGTCTTAGGCTGTAGGGAGCTGAAATTATCTACAAAGTTGCAAGTATATTGAACAGTAGTCCTCCACACCCTGCTCCATGGCAGCGACACATTGGTCACATAGAGGAGGCACCTCAATGCACTTGAAAATTTTCACTTATGTAGTCTATGCTCCATTGAGTTCGCTGGGAAGACAAGAGAGCAAATGTCAGTATTCTCAACGACACCAAATGTAGGAGCATCAAAGCTACCATTATCCATGAACATCTACGTTGGACTGGCCATGTTACCCACATGGACGACAGTAGCTACTTTACAGTAACTTAACGAATGGTAAACGTAACACTGGCAGGCAATGGAAAAGATATTAGGATAGTCTTAAGATAAACCTGAAAAACTCAAATCGACCCCCCCCCCCATTCACCTTGGAGATGATCACTGTAACACTTGGATGAGCACCACACGAGAAAGTGTCAATAATTTTGAGTAATGTTGCTCAAAACTATGTCTTTTTTTCACATTTGATTTCCATTTAATATTTGTTTAATTTAAATTTCTATCAGTCCATGGTGCTTTAGAGACACAGGAGGTGTATAATTAGTGGGTCAGAGGTGTACTGTTGAATTATTATTACCTGACCTTGGTTGGTCCGGCAAAACGGGTAATCCGGCAAGGCTTTGGAACCAAGGGTGCCGGAAAATCGGTGGTGGACCTGTACCTGCTCCAATGGTGATCAATTCTTGTTTTGAATGAGCTCACACCAGGTGCCGCTGCCAACATGTAACTGA